CCCCCCCCCCCCCCCCCCCCCCCCCCCCCCCCCCCCCAGACATGCTTAGGCGTCTTTCTTAAACTATGGTTGGTTGTTCTGCCTTGCATATTCTAGGCATTCCTTTGTATCCATGTAGAAACGTATCATGAACAATTATTATATAATTATTCTTAAATTGGATGATTAAGACAAAGCTTTCACCATGATATTAGGTTTAGTAATATTGACAAAGAACAGAAGAATTCAAATCTATCTATAAAGGTAGAATAGAGTAGATATCAATGGAAAGGTGGGAACAAAGGCTATGAACACAAAGGCTCTGCAGGGCAAGATCTATCTGTATTGGAGTGAGCACCATGATGCAGTTTTCCAAAATGCAGTTGTTGCACAGTAGGCACATGGCAGACAGTAAGGTGCAATATCTACTAATTAGGGCCATGCAGTGCTTCCAATTCAGTCTTCAAAAGGTGCTTCAGAGTGTGCAGGAGCACAACATACCATCTGTCTGCAATATTTTGAAGCAGCTGCCTTTCCCCCCAGGATCGTGCAGCTGTGCAGCCTTAATATCCACTGTGTTTAGAAAAAGAGCAAGATGCACATATGCCAGACCTGCAGAAGAAGCAGGAGATGCTAGGAAGGCCATATCATATGGGTAACTAAAAGTGTAGTGAAGGCCCCAGTGGCTGTTTCATGTTTAGGTATTTTTGTGGCCTATTGTCTGTCTGTCTAAACGTGCTGAAGGCTAAATCCTTAATTCATTCCTGTATTTATTCTTGCCTATTGATCCTTTGGGAGAGCAGAAATTGGGGCACCCTCTCTCATTCTTCCTTTGGGAAATTTTCTATTCTCTAAACAATTTCACAAGCCAATTTTGTCAAATAATTTGATTTTAATCAGGTCTAGTTGGTTTCTGAGTTCCATAAATAAAGCTGTTACGATCAAACTTTTAGTACTCTGTTATTATAAACATATAGAATTCCCAAGTGCCTGCAGGCCATAATTGCCAAAAAAAACTGTTATAAAAGCATTTTGAGGTATGAGAAACACTGACAGGATATAAAGTCCAGGTAAATTCTTTCCAGGATCGCCTTTCTATGTCTGGAGATTCTCAAGTACTACATTTAATACTGTAACTTGATGTGGCTTGATCAATACATTTTTCCTACTCTACCTTTTTTCCTTGGATTTTTAACAGTTCTGATGAAGACTTCTTGGGAATTCAGAGGCTTGCAATTATTTAAAGACTCTAGTTGACCTAATAAAAGTATTAGCTTGAAATAGATTTTTACTTTTTTCCTCACAATCAACACAACTGTCTTCACTTTTTCAGTGATTGACAAGATTCTTTTTGATTTCCACAGCCCATCTCCAGAAGAAGGCATGGGAGATGAATTTGACCTGATGGATCACTCAGACCTATACATCTTAGACTTCAGTATGTGAACATTTTCTCATCGTGTCATCCTTCATTAACTACTTTATCTTGGTCAAACTTCTTGCTTTAAAAATATGTCTGAGGTAGAGCTGACTTTGTCTCAGTGTTGCAGATGATTTAGTTTTTCTTTATTAGATCTCAAATGCTATGTATTACTCTTTCTTCAGGTCCCAGCTTAAAAACGCTGTGTAAGCTGGCAGTGATCCAGTACAATCTGGACCAGTCTTGCCTCCCTCATGATATCAGGTAAACTATTTGTCCTCATGGAGATACCTGTATGTTCGGTATCTCTGACCACAGAGCCTTAAATAATGTACGTAGTTGCCTTAGCTTAGTGTTGTGTATTTGCTTACAGAGGCTCTCCAGAGTTTCTGACAGAAATCTTCCATATCACCTGTCACCTCTTTTTTTTTTAATTGGAAATTCCAGGGATCAAACTTGAAACTTGGCATGTAAAACACATACTCTGCCACTTATCTGTGGTTCAAGTGGCAGAATATGTGTTTTACATGCACAGATCATCTTGTGAGCCATTTGCACCTATTTCTGGACTGGGAGGCCTTGCTCAGGGCATCACACTCTAGTCACATCCCAGCTAATGTGCTGAAACATGCTGTACACAGGACTGCCATTAAAGACCATCCAGAAATTACAACTGGTCTAGAATGTAGCAGCACATGCTGTTTTGGGCACCCCATGGTTTGCCCATGTTACACTGCTGCTGTGGGAGCTGCACTGGCTTCCAGTTTCTTTCCGGGTACAATTCAAGGTGCTGATTATCGTCTTTAAAGCCCTGAATGGCACAGGACCAGGTTATTTGTGGGACCGCCTCTCCCTGAGAGTATCTGCCCATTCTACTAGGTCTGACAAGGTAGGCACATTCCAGGTCCTTTCCTTTAAATATTGCCATCTAGTAGAATCTAGGCAGTATGCCTTCTTAGTAATGGCCCTGCTCTTTGGAACACCCTTTCTCCTGAAATCAGGCAGGCCTCTACTCTCCTGGCCTTCAAAAAAGCGATGAAGTTCTGGCTTTTCCCACAAGCCTTGGGGTAGTATGAGGCCGGATCCCAGTGAAGCTCAAAAGTTGTTTTCTGGATATGTAGGGATAAGGGCACCAGGAGTGACTTTGTTGGTTTTTATGTTTTTTTACTGTTTTTATTGTTTTACTATTGCTTGTGAGCCACCCAGGGTAATGCTGCATAAGATGGGGTGGCTATACAAATCTTTTAAATAAATAAAATAAAATTGATCTGATCTGATCTGATCTGATCTGATATGTTGTCTTTTCAGATGGGAGCTTTCAGCAATGACAACTAATAGCAACATCAGCCGTCCAATTTTTTCCTCCCATGGATAACTTGGTCTTATGCTCCCACTCCTAGCTGCCTTCAACTCCTTGCCTTGCAAATGTCACCTACTGTCTTCCTCCCTGTGCATGAATGTTCAGCTTATTCAAAAAAGGAGCACTATTTCACCACAAAGATTTCTTTACTGACCAATGTTGGGAGGGCTCTTTTTGCCTGTCCCATTGCCACACTTGTTGCAGCTATAACTTTGCCAAAACCTTGATTTAAAGGCAGCATGCATGCAGAATCAGATAGTGCATACTACAGAAAAGGATGCCAGATGTGTTTTTGCTCTCATAACTGAAGGTTACAGCTGACAGCCATCTACTGGTGTAGTATCTTTTCATTTAATAGAGTCAAAAGAAATATAAATCTCAGGACTGTTACAAGACCAGCATATGCTTCATATACTACAGAATCAAAGGTGAACAAAGCAAGGACTCATCAGAATTCAGCTTCTCTATGGCTCAGCAATTTTGAGTGTCTAGCCCTCAGTATTAATCTAAGGACTGAACTGGTGCCCTATCTTAAGCCATTTTCTTTGCTTCTCTGAGCACAGAAAAGCTTGCCTAGTCTTACACATTTTTGAGCTTGACCAGGCTTGTCTTCTGCAATGGGCACCTGGAAGATCTCCATATGATACTTAAGCACTTGCCATCTTTACAGTGATGCAGATCAGAGTCTTCAGTGGAAGAAAAGTAGAATGATGACTATCCGGCTAAGCAAGGAGTGGCATCCAATATCCTGTAAAACTGAATCAATTTTTTTTTCTGCCTGTTATGGAAGTATTCATCACAAGATCTGAAATGCTATCACCCAGTTTGATATGTACAAGCAACAGCTCTGAATTTATAAATACCAGGGTGGGGGAAGAAAAACTGTGTCAGTACTTTATATGGCTAGAGGGCAAGTGGTGGACTAATGCAGGGGGTATAAGGATTTAGGGTCTGCAGTCCACAAATTAAGACTGAAATTGAAAAATTGGTATAAATTAGTGGCTAAGGATGTGAGCTGGAAGGTTGTCAATTCAAATCTTGGTGTGGCCATGGACTTGCTAAACACTGCCGGGCAAGCCACACTTGGTTTCAGCCTCACATCAGAAATATAGGAATAATACTTTCCTGCCATACAGAAATATTGTAACAATTACAATATAAAATAAGTGAAATGTTTTGAATATTCAAAAGTGCTATATAAATGCTGCATATTTATTAAAATTGGGTATCTTCATTACTCTTATTAAACAAGGCTTTCAACCAGTCAGGGTAATCCAAGTGCCTTAAAATTGCCTAACTCAGTTGTTCCATCAGATTATTTAACCCAGTATTAAAACAACACAATATTTTTATTTGGGGGGGGAGGGGTTACTGTAAGATTAATTTCATCCATCCCAAAATCAACATTGTGTTTTGTGATGCATGAAAAAGGTGGCCTTATAAACACAGCAGTGTTAAGAAAAATAAAAGTTAAAATAGGCAGTGCAGTAAAATTATATACATGTATGCATAGATTAGGTTTCTTACAAATTCATGAATATTACATTAAACATGAGTATGAATGAGGCCAACACAAAACCCTGTAATAGAGACATTCTGGTCCAGATACAGCTCTGTTCCTCAGTTTTTACTTCTAGAAAAAGTTTACAAGTTGACCACTTGATAAAAGAATAAGCTGCCATAGAAGTAGGGACCTCAGGATAATGTTTATATGATCTTAAAACACAGTGCAGCTCATTTGTCTGACTACCACTGAACTGATGTCAGAACTAGACTTAACGTTTATTACAACATGATAAAGAAGGGCTGATCCAGACACTCCCTTTGTTTTTCTCAGTTTTCTTTTACTGCCTGTCTTTCATTCTTGAATGTACTTTGGTTAAATGAAAGCAGAACGCATGTAGACCAATTTTTTTTTTCCTGGATCAACCCTTTGCTGTCTCACACAATTCTTAAAAAGCATTATCAATTGTTTCTTTCAGTTGTAGGAAGAAATCTGATTTAGGATTTGGAGATTCAGCAGACTTGGTGTGCAAAGCAACCTGGAGGTGCTTTTAACAGTCTTTTCTGAGCCAAGAAGATCAGAGTTTTTTCTGTGTTTGCCCAACACTGGACAGTTGAGTTAGGTTGGCAAGATTTCAGTTACAGGAAACAAACTGGATGCCTTTTATTTATTTTCAGTATTCTTATCTTCAGTTATGCACCTACTGTGCCCTTCCCAGCCGACAATTGTTCTTTTGTTTTTACTTTCAGTTGTCAATTAAAAAAAGGATGCATCTTTGCATTGGAACAATTTTGAATTGATAAACAAAGTAAAATGCTTGTTTCAAAACACTGGTTACCTTCAGTAAATCAGATTATTTCTCTCTGTGCCAACATAGCCATAACTGTGACTCAAGTAATTATTCCTCAAATTCAGGCAAAAGGACATACAGGGAATATTGTTAGTTGCAGGTGATTTTAATGCTGAATTTATGCTTGTGGACCAATTCCTGTTTGTTTTTTACTCCGCTTGGTACCCTGCAGATGTGTTTGGGACTATAACTCCCCAAATTCCCAAATAGCATAATTGAGCATGTTTTCCAGGAATCCTTGTAGTCCTAATATTTCTGGAAGGTGTGAGATTAGAGAAGGTTGTTCTAAGAATTCTTAGATGCTTTATCAAACTACAAATCCCAACATTCACTTGAGAAAGAAGTATGGGAGTCTCTGTAGTATCCATTTCTACTATAGCCCACATAATATTTATGTTGAGAATGAAGTGCCCGCCATTAAAAAAAGAAAAGCCAAACCTATTTGGAAAGCAATGCAAAATCAAATACAACCAGTGAAAGCAGTGAAAGCGTGTGTTATACAACCATAAGGAAAATTGTCAGAGGAGAGATGGTTTCCTTTTTTGGCTCCGCTAAAACAAGTTTATCACATATTTCTTTAAAAAAAGAGACAAAAACCTACAAAACTTGCTTGCCAGAGGTGAAAGTGGAATGAGCATCAGAGTGCTCCTTCCAAGAGGCCAGTGTCTCAGGAGTGCATTTCTCCTGAGTCCTGCCCCACTGCACATTCTTGCAGAGAGATGTGTGCATCATAACCTGCCCTGTCTTTGTGCAGTTCAGAATACTGATATGTCAACAGCACTGAAACAAAATTCATTTGCCAGCCTAGCTGCTTTCCTAAGTAGGCAGAGATTTTTTTCTTTTTCTTTTTTTCCACTAAATACATACATACACATGTACATACATACATACACACACACACTTTTAAAGTTAGGTAAATGCTTACTCAGAAACCTTGTGGGGCTCTCTACATTGGAGAAAGCTTAATCCTATATCCCTCTTGACAAAGTTGAAGAAGAGCTAAGCTACTCAACATACTCCTAATAAGCAGGAAGCTTTGCGCACCGTTTAATTGGCAATCCTTCCAATGCATGCAATTTTAAAGATCACTTTTCTAAAATTAAAGTTTTCAACATACGCTCCTCACAGCTCTCTGAATAAAATATCCCAAATTGAAATACATTTCTCCTAGGTAGATAATTGAATCAGGATGGAAGAAGTTTGACTAGAATATTGTCCAGTCAAGAACCCACAGCACTCTGAGACTCAGGCTACATGAGACCATCACAAATTATAATTCTAAATGAAAATTAGAATTGCTAGGGCAAAGTGGCACCAAACCCACATTTCAGTGTCAGGGCTTAGCCATGGAATTTATGAAGAGATTATGAGAAAGAGCTGGGCTTTTATCACTGTAGAAGCACAACTTTGAATCAGTCCATTGACTGAAGAAATGCCTTGCTGTATCAGGGTGTCCAGTCCAGTGCTGTTATACAAACAACAAAGTTGTTATCCAAGTATGGACTTCATGGGTCCCCAAGCACTTTCATGCATAAGGAACAGGCACAGGAAATCCCAGAGTTGCTCCTTTGATTTATATTCCATGTTCTGCCAGAGGGTGCCTACAACAGCTCAAGTTTTGTAATAGACATCTTTAGGGAGAGAAGCCTAAAAGGGGAGGAAATCTCATAATAATCCTTCGAGGAATAAGCAGACTGAGTAATGGATACCTGCTGAGAGAAGAACAAATGACCAGGGAAGGGGGGAATGCGATGGGGTGGGTCAAGGAGAAAGACAAGAATATGAGAATTTTTAAACACTGCAGAATTTTTTTTAAAAAGCTATCTTACTACAATGTGTTCTTGTCAAAGAAAAATATTGTCTTCTCTGAACCTACTGCAAGTACTACCTGGGTGACCCCAAATTCTGACACAAAAAAAGGGGGAAAGTTTGCATTTTGACCTTAGTGCCTCATTCTTAATTTCTTACATCTCCATTGTTTTCACTTCTGCTTAGATTGCCTTAAAACTAAACACAACCAAATGATAGATAAGGGAGCATCATCAAAGTTTTGAAAATTAGGGTGGCAGGGCAATGTCTGTTGGAAGGAAAAAAAATAAGTATGAATACTAGCTGAACCTAAATCTACAGTAGTCATACATAATATTTTTTTTAAAGTGGCATTCTATTAAGATAACAATTTTAATAAACCAGAATTGTTTTTTCTAGGCATCAGGCCTAGGTCCACATTTGATGAAGGAAATCTAGAATCACAGATAGCTATCTACCCCCTGAAAATTGCATAGTTTTTTTCCCTCCTCCACCTCTGAAACATTTGTCAATTTCTCTCACTGAAAAGAACCCAACTATATGTTCACTCAAAAGCTATAAATTAAGCCTGCTAGATTTAGGCTTGCTCTCTCAGGTAGCTGCCTCTAAGTGACTCCAGCCTCTCCTCAAAGGATTTGTTTTCCATATTCTCTGCTCATCTCTGAATTCATTTCAAATTCTCTATATATTACGGATGGGCAGATTTCAGTCTTGTGAAATCTTTTTTACTTGAGTCCTAAAGCTCTGGTGGAGAAGATACATCCTTTGAATACAGAGCCCGGTTACTTTGAGCACCAGCACTGAGTTGCCTATCAGTTCTTTCACACAGACATGTTCTCACAACTTGATATCAGCAGTAGTAAGACAGGAAAGAAGTTGACTTTATTGCTGTCTACTTCAAATCACCCAGAAACCTACCAGTAAGTCTCATTCCATCTTCTGCCCACCCCTGTTTTGTGTACTCCATGGTTCAGAACTGTACATACAATTACATGTAGCCTTTTGAATGAAAAATAAAGTGCAACACTGGCATTGCAGGATTTGGAAACTTCAGTTCTATTAATTAATTAGATTAGGTTAACCTTTTCTCCAGCACCATAATCCTACTCATTTAAGCTATAATTCAAGGAGTCTTATGCTTTAGGTGTATTTATCAAGAATAGTCTATAGATAGAATATGGCACTCTTCATGCTAAATTGTTGCCCATATGTTCCTTCTAGTTTTGGAGAAACCTTGTTATAGTTATTTATTACATTTATATCCTGCCACAATCTCGCAATTCTCAGCAGCTTTTTTGTGTCAAGGTGAAATCCCCAAGTATTACTGTATCTTGTGTCCAGTATATATGCCTAAATATATATGTGTATATTAAGGTACCATGCAGCATTTAGGTATTTCACAGACTGCAACTGATGAAGGAAATCTGAAAACCTCCCGTGCATTATTGTAGGATTTTACTGTCTTTAACCAAATGACAAACACTTGCTTGGGATTTAAAAGAGAGAAGGGCAGGCTTTTGCAGATTAAATGAATGCAGCAAGCCCAGGATAGCTCCAGCAGTGCGTAAATAGCAGAGAAGCTCAGGTAATTATCCTGTCTTCATTCTCATGTGCAAATTTGGGGGATAAGCAGCTGGTGAAGCATCTACTATGCTGATTTTTCTTAATGAGGTCTAAGAAACTTCTTTCAAAG